CCTTGATCTTGGATTTCCCAGCCTCCATAAGTAAGAGAAATAAATTTCTTTTGTTTACAAATTACAGATTCTGAGGTATTTTGTTACAGTAGCAGAATAGACTAACACAATGTGCTAAACCTAACTTGGCCATTTTGATTGCTAATCGTTTGCATTATGCCCATGAGTGAGACTGGCTTATAAATTTCATGTCTCATACTAGTATTATGTGGTTTTGATATTAAGGTTAGACACACCTCAGAGAATTCAGACCCACTACAGTAAGACTTTTGCCCTCACCGCATCATTAAAATTGTTCTCATCAAAGATGCCAATGATCTCCATGTTGCTAACTCCAATGATCAATTCTTAGCCCTCACTTTACTTATCGGCAGCACATAGCATGATTGATTACTCTCTCCTCCTTGAAAGACTTTCTTCACTTTATTCTAAGATAGCATATACTCCTGGTTTTCCTTCTAGTTCTCAGGTTGTTCATGCTCAGTTTCCTTTGATGAATTTTCTTCATCTTCCTGATTTCCAAATTTTGGAGCATCCAAAGGCACAGTCCTTAGACCTCTTTTCTTTCTACCCAAACTAATGGATGATGATCAAGAGTGATGATTTCAGACAGGCTGGATCATGGCTTTAAATGCCACATGTATACCATCTATATCCCTGTCCTCTGAACTGACCTCCTATATCCAACTTCATATTCAACATACTCACTTGGATGGTATCTCAAGATTAACTCATCCAAAACGAGCTTCTGATATTCTCCTCCATAACCTCTTTCTGCATTCTTCTTCACAAACCAATGGAAACTCCATTATCTCTTTAACATTGCCTTTCCCCTATTCTATTTTTTTCTTCTGAAAGATTAGATAGATCTATCTTGGAAAGTGTCACACTATACCCCATATGTCTCAACCTCTCAGTCTTCCATACAGAAATTATCCATTTAGAAGAAAAAAAGGATTCTTTTTTTTCCAATTCTTTTTTTTACTTTATTCACATCTTTCAGTTTATGAATTCTCCTTTTAGCTGTACCTCCTCTGCTACTCAAGTCTTCCATTTTAATTTTCAATTATTGTATTTTTCATGTCTAAAAACTCTATTTAGTTTTTTTAAAGTATCTGCCCATTTTTGGTAGTTTCTTTTTTCTTGTATATATTAAATATCAAATAACTTTTCATATAAAACACTTATTTTGTAGTATCTGAAAATTTAATATTGAAATCTTTGAGGATATAGGTATATCATTTGCTGTTTCTGTTGACTTACACTCCTAATGCTGGGTTATCTCCTTTTTGTTCTCTGTGATTTTAAATTATGAGTTTATATTTGCTGGCATTCTATCTGTGGGGTTTATTTTGAGGCCTGGATTAAGGGTACCTTTCTCCAGGGATGATTTTTGTTTGCTTTTGTCAGGCGCTGAGCATTACTGACATGTCCTCTTAAAAATACAATTATCGGCAATACAAACTATGCAAATATTATAGATTCAGTTACTAAACCCATGTGAATGTTAGCCAGTGACTGTTAATTTGCAGGGGAGCCTTTAAAAAATATCCATGAATAGCCAAGGCTGAGAATGGTTATTTTCCTTACTATCTTACCTTTTCAATTTTTTGTGTTATTTTAGTTCACTGTTTTTAAAAGGGTATAGCCTTTCAGGGATCCAGGTTTTATGGTGGACTCTGATGTGACTCCCAATTACTGACTGGCCCAAAATTTTCTATACATTCTCTAGGCTTTGGTGGTCAAGATGGTCCCCCATATTCTGGTTGTTTCTGCGCTTACCTCTCCAGAGATAAAAGTTTAACATACGCATCAGAGTCACCTAAAGGTTGTGCTAAAACACAGGGTACTGGGCAATATTTTCTAATTTAGTAAGTCTGGGATGGGGCCCAAGAATTTGTATTACTAAGTTTCTAGTTGATGTTGATGTGATTGGTCTGGGGACCATATTTTGAGAATCAATCCTCTAGACCAGGTTGGTTGGCAAATTTTCTCTATGATGAACCAGATTGTAAATATTTTTGACGGTGTAGACCACATATCCTCTGTAGCAATCACTCATATCTGCTGTTGTAGCATGAAAGCAACCATAGAGAATACATAAAAAACGGGTGTAACCCTGTCCTGATAAAACACTACTTAACAGAAATATGCACTGGTCATGTTTGGCCCAGGGGCCATACTTTGCTGACCTTTGTTCTAGACTGCTGTTCCCACTCTGTCCCTGGCCACAAAAGCTTTGTTTTGCTTTCTTGAATGCACATCCAGTCATTTAGAAGGGATTTAAAAAATATTTTAAAAAACATTTTTAGATGTTACATAGCAGAAAATCTTTCAGGATCTTCTTCCACCATACTACTAGAAATGGAAGTCCTACACTTAAATTTCTACTTGTTGAAAGAATTTAGGACCAGACTTTTGTAGCAGATCTGACCTTTCCTACAAAGTCTAATCTCTTTAGTAGGCCATAAAAAGTTTATGATTAACTTTCATATTTTTCCTAGAAACTTTTCTACCTGCTACCCTACATAACTTAGCCTCCTATTATACTCAGTTACTTACTAAACTTACAATTCTGTCTCATTTCTTCATGCTTTTGCACATATTTTTCCATTTTCCAGGTTCTCCTCCATTCCTTCTCCATAAAAAGTTTGGTAAATTCCTACTACTCCTTAACCCCTCATTAAAAGCTCCTCTGCGAGGCTCTCCTCTCCCAAAAGCTGCTACTCTGTCTTCTGTTCGCTCCTGTAATTACGCCCATTGTCACATCCATTGTACTCCACTGTCACTGCGAGTTTCCCGGAATGTCTCCTTGTTAGCCCATGAGCAACTTGAGGATGAAATGAGTATCATTTATCTTTAAATCCCCAGTGCCGGGCACATATTTGTTACTCAATAAATGTTTTATTATTTACTTTCGAGAAATTAAATAAATGGCTATGTAAATGAGTAACTAGGGAATGGGATTTTAAACAACTTACTTGTTTAAACCCTTGAAGTTTTAATCTTATCTCAGTAATCACCAGCCAAATGAGAGGCTCCTAACCCCAGCCTTGTTTATTATTCTGGGTTAGTCACACCTACATAGGTTTGTAGTGAAACACACAAGGACACAGGCCACCGCATGCTTCATACCCAACCAGCATCAAGGAGGACATTTATTGTTTCTAAAATAAAACAAAAGACAAATGTTTTGTTTCTCTTTTATTGCAACCCATTGCAAGGTCAAAGATTCACGTAAATATAGAAACTACAAACCGGGTGAATTTTCTTTATCCACTCAAAAAGACATTAATGACAAAGGACCAGAATTTTCTACTACAGCAATATATTTCATAGTCTTTATTCTGAAAATACTGTTGACATTTTGGAGAGGATAAAAAGCCCTGCATTAAACATGTTCACACGTATTTATGACATTCTAAGCAAAAAAAGAAACTCTATATTGCCCAGAAAAATTATTTTAAGCCTCATTTCAAAGCATCTAATGAGAACACATTCAACAACCATCACAGGATCACTCAAGGTGATGTTCTTTTTGGCTGTTTTTTTGAGATTAATGCTTTGAGGCTGGATATGGTATTTCTACAGGTTTCTACAAATGTACCAAAGCAGTTTTCCAGGTTATGTTGCATCAGGCTTTCTGGATTAGTCAACATTTTAGAGAATAAGTGCAAGTCCCCACCCCCCCCACCCCCCAAGCTAAAAGCATGTTATAGTGCTGTATTTTAGATTCAAACAATGCAACATCTAAAAAAAATCAATTATACACTCTGAAACCATTTGACAACCAAACCGTAACACTCCAGAGATTATTACAACTTTGAACTGAAATGGTACCATCTATATCATAGATGGCTCTCCCTTCTTTTGTCTTTTTTAGCTATTTAAAATATAGTATGACATATATAAAAATTAAACTTTTGCATATTCACTCAAGCTACTATTACTATACATACTGTCTTATAAATTAGTTTTGGATTAAAAATCAGTTAAAATATTGTGAAATAAGATTCTTTTAGTGGTGGAGAAATGGATATGAAAACGATACAGTTCATTGCATAAGAAGAATTATAGTTTATTAATGTTAAACGCTTTTTTTCCTTACACAAATTTTATTCCTTTCAAATTAAATTAGAAACCATTTAGTTATGGGAAAAATATTCTTGGTGCTTGCTGACTAGATTTTCCTAACTGATTGGGATTAAGAACAAAAAATGCCACATCAGAAACATGTTGACATAATCAAAGGAAACAGTTGTTTACAAAAAAGGAATCATTATAAATAAGTGAATGCCATTCAAATGTAAAGCTATCTTTTGTTTCTTACAGCTAGTATCACTTTAGCACTATTGGGACTTATAGAAAATGAAATCCAAACCTCAATATACCTGTTAAAGACCAAACAACAATTATGCCCACTCAGGGAAGAATAAATAGCAAATTCACAAGTTAGGGCTTTGTTTCTAGTTCTACTGTGAAAGATAATCACTCTTTACCTTAAAAAGGCTCCCTGCTGTCTTGATTATAACTCTAGACACAGGAAAGGTTATTTGAGCCTGAGTCCCTAGTATGAATTCATTGTAAAGATGTGTTAAATCAAAATATGTATTCATTTACTGACGGGTATTTTCTTAACTGAAAGCTGGCAATCTTTACTTAAAGAAATGCTTATTTCTGACAAGTGTAAACAGGATTTTAATGAACAGATTTTCTAACTTTTCCTTCTTAAACTCATATATTAGCTAGCAATAGATCTTTGCACTAGCATAAGAACTATTCGAAAAATGATAACATGCATATATCCAAAAAACCTGTTCATAAACCCAAAGCAAAGCAAAAGAAAAAATATTCAGTAGAAAGATTGTCTACTTATATCTCATTTATTAATTTTCTATTAATGTGACTACCCCCAAAATCTCAGACATATACTTTCATTATTACCAAAATTAACAAAATAATGAAATGATCTGTAGTTTTCTTTTTAATAACTGCACACCATTAGTTACATTGGTGGCTTTGATGCTAAGATTAGCTCCAAATATCATTAAAATATATCCTGACCAGTTACTATCCATGAAATAAAAGCTAACACAATGTTAACGTAAAACCAACTAAAATATTTAGTACTCAACAGAATGCATTTGTAGAACAATGAATAATTAACTTTTGTGAGCTGGCCAGGGGAGTTAGATTGTTGCCTCCCTATGAAAAATTTACAAAAGGCTTTATTCTCTCTAGTCCCTAGGTCGCTCACCCAACAGCAAGCTGGCCACCCGTGGATACTCTGAGTTAGGCAGAGCCACAGTGGACGACATGCTTCCTCAGTGACCTAGAGGAAGGCCCTTCTGTCAGGAAATGATCTAGAAAGAACCTGCTGTGGTGTATGGGTGCACACGCGTGTGCAGTATGTGAGAAAGTGTGAGTGCCTTCATGAGTGTGTGTGCCTGGAATTTTGGAAACTATTGGCTTCCAGCATTCTAATTAATGTCATCATCAGTAGAAGTGCACGATTCTATCCCATGAATAAAGAGGGCCTTCTTTTTTGGACATCTCTAAGTGGCAGCAATTGCAAGCTCAAAATAATACATCCAATTTTTTGACTCTATATTAAAAAAAGTTTGTTTTTTTTTCTTAAAAGAAATAAGCCTTTGGATTTAAAAACTAAATGGTTACTGGCTTTCACAATCTTTAATTTTTAAGGAAAAACCCAGCTCACCTGGGAAAAAATGACAACTGCACTTATGGTATATAGTATGCAAACAAGACACAAATATACACACTCTGGTACACAGGCAGACAGGCGACAGTTAAAATCTTTCCAAGAGATGGCCCACCTCGAATCTACAATTCCCCTCCACCCTGCTGCATGATCCAAGCGGACCTAGGCAGAGGCTGGAGTGTTAGGAAGAGGCGGCAGACATGTTGGGGGTCCAGCCCATCTGATAGGCTCTCTCCAGGGTCCTCTTGCAGTCCTGCAGGACGGTGCTGAAGGTGATGTGGGGGTACTGCTGCACCAGCTGTTCCACCGTCACTTCGTTGACCTGCAAACAAAGAATAACACCATCAGTCACAGGGACACTGACACCGGGCTGCCGCGGGTGCTCCCCGGTGTGCTGTGGCCTGCTCACCCCAGCACGAGGAGCCCTCGCCTCCTCCTTAGCAAGTGAGCAAGTGTTTTGTGCACGCCCTCTTTTGTCTGACCTCTGATCCTCCCTCCAGTAATACATTTGCCCTTAGGGATTTTTTAAAAGACATGATATCAAGAAATCAAATATGTTTTTTGGAAGCATAAATGACTGTGACTTGGCAAGATCTTAACAATATCTGTTGAAAATCTAGTGCTTGGGAGGTAAGGAAGCAGTAAGATAGCATTCTAACGCACGGTCGACTTCATCATCAACCTAACAGCCTTTTTAGGACAAAAATTATAGAATGAGGGAGAGGAGACGCAGGATTCCAGATAGAAGTGTTGGGGAAGATGTTTATTTTTCTTCCCTTTAAATGTTAAGGTATTGCAAACTTCAAGTCCCTCTGTGAAAAGGGCTGAAATGTGAGGAATCAATAATTAAAACATACATGGCTGGCAGGTCAGGGATGGCCCCAATAGACCTTAACCATCAAAGATACCACCTTGATTCTTGATTAGACAAGGCAATCAGACAGGCCTAATTAAAACTAACACCTTTACAATTGCTGTGCTGTGAAGGGATTAATTTGTCAATTATTTTTAAGCTGATTGCAGTTCATATCACAGAAGTAGACAGCTTTCTTCATCCTTTAGATAAATAAATGATTAACCTAAGAACCACAACTTTTAGGTAGCTTTATTTAAAATCTTTATTGAACACTTGGGCATTTTCAAATACATCAATATTTTATTTATACTGAATAAGCTAGTCTGAAAGTAGGTCCCTGTGATATACATTTTTGAGCATCCTTCTTGATGTCCGTTATTGGAAAATACCAGGAGGACCACCAGGAAAAACCAGAAACAACATCAAACCCCCGTTGTTTGCTTTGAAAGCCTGCTTAGAAGTATGATGACCATAAAATTCAGTTACCTGCACTTTTCTGAAATAACATGGTATCTTCATAGTGATCTGGAAAACTATGTTATATATTAATCTTTTTTATTATTGAGAGTTGATATTTCAACATTGTGTTGATGATACTTAATCTTTCTCAGAACATTTCTGTATTCAAGACTAGCTTGTATTTAAACCAACTTCTATTTCAAATTCAACCAAGCCATGCACTTAACTCATTTTGTGATAAAGCTTTATGTATTATATATTTTTCAAAAGCAAGAATAAAATAATTTGAATAAAAAAGAAAAACTAATATACAAATTAGACTTGAGAATATGAATTAATGATCTTAAGAGGATTTTTAAGCAATATAATGTTTTATTTTTTAATTTAAATGTATGCTCTAAGTCTTGTTTGAGTTCAGACAGCTTACAATAGTACACTTAGAAGTTATGCAACATCTCGCCTTGCGTATCCCCCTAACATATTTTTGGTACTATCCAGCCACTAGGCCTAATTTCAGATTACCAAGCTGTTCAAGTTCCTTCTGGCCTTATGCTTGTCAATGCACTTCTCCATTATGACCACCCCCCTTCTCATGCCTTTCTATTCATTTTTGATTTCTTAGCTTCAGTGTCATTTCCTTAGGGAACCTTGATCACTGCCCTGTTGCTGCTCCCTCCCCAAATTACATAAAACTTCCAGATCATTCACTCTTCCAACACTGCCTACTTTTCCTTCATGGTACTTCTTGTTCTATTATTAAGTTAGTTTATAGTTACTTTGTTTAGTGTTTATTTCTCCTGCTCCAATATAAGATCTACAAGAACTATGATGAGCCGGGAATAGTTATTAGTTAGTAAATGCTAAAACAATAGCAAACAACAAATAAACAATAGAAACCCAGGAACAAGGCAAAGCCAAAAACTAACATACTAATCCAGAAGATCAACAATTTTGTAAACAACTCATATTCAACTTAAGAATCCTCGCCTTCAGGGAAGCCGTCCCTAAGCAGCCCTATTTCCCCACAGTGTTGGGTGAGGTACCCTCTCCCCGTGCACCTATGGCAAGCCCCCTGCAAGGTCTGCCCTCTATTTGAGCATTTGTACACTGCACTGCAACCATCTCTTCTCCTGCCCATTTTATCCACCTGAATTAAAGCCTCTGGAGACCAGAGATTGCCCTTTTATCTTTAAGGCTATCTTTGAGCTGTGCACAAAGTGAAGAAGAACCATGGCAACTGTGGTTCATATCACGGACTTTGGAGCCAAACAGAAAACAGGTTTGAATCCTGCTTTCACTTCATTAAGATTTGGTTTTCTCAACTGTAAAAACGGGATAAAAGTACTTATCGTAGGATTGCTATAAGGATTAAATGTAATATAATACACCTAGCACTGTGACTGACATAAAAAGGCCCCCCAAATGGTAGTTCTTATTATTGCAGCCGGCAATCAATAAATGGTTAGTGAATGCACGAGTTAATTCGTGATATCTTAGGGCAACCACTTCTCTATAGTCCTAATCAATATTGTTCCACTCCTGAGATATCTCGGAAATAAATCTTGATAAACACTAGTTGTAATGGTCAAAATAAAATTGACACAGGACAAGAAGTAACCTTTAGAATGTGCTTCATATACAAGAAGAATCTATTCTATTTTCATGCTCTCTGGAGGAGATTCCAGAACTTTCCTTAATAATATACTCTAGATTTTAAATATCCACTGTCAGGAAATTCTCCCTTTTTTTTTAACTGACGTTCCCCATGCTGTAATTAGGTTACCTACCCCCTTCTTGCCATAAACAAACTTGGAAGGATGCAGGTTTCACTAAGAGAGAGCTGAAGTCATTTGGTCAGAGAGGATTCTCGAAAAATCTGCATTGCATTGCAAAGGAAGTAATAGCAGTCCTAGTCACTTGGCATTCAAGGAACTACTAACTAAAAATAGATGAGAAAAGAATGGAGCGAGAAAACATTTAAACCCACTGTAAAAACATGGACTGTTTTCTACGGTACGTCTTTTCTAATCTACGCACGGGCTTGTACAAAGTTTAGTACCTAGGGTTGACAGGCAATTTGTTTTGGAGGGCCAATTTTTAAAAATGGAAAATATCTCTATGTGGTAACTGTTTTCCAGGAAGAGACATATAATTCACCTTAAGTAAACTTGATACATGAAGATATGGATTTATGAAGTACATAAATTAGGGGATAATTGTTCACTTCAGTAAGGAATGTCATGGTAGAGTTAATTTAGTTTGTCAGCTCCCCTAATATATTTTATATATTCTTTGATTTACCAAAATTCAATTTACCTATTTCTGTTGTAAAAAGTAAAATTACACCTGTAGTTGAGAATATAGATGATGATGTGTTATTTCTCTGGCTCTCATAGGTTATGGGTAAGAATAGACAACAATTTGGCTTTGTATAGCTGTGTGAAAATGGCACCAGTAATCCTCTGTGGATATAATGTGTCTTCTAAGCAATCTTTTTGCTAACTGTACTCTGTAAATGCTAGAAAGCAAAGCAGTGGGGAAAATGCAAATATTCCATTTTAGAGCTTTGGTAGGTAGAAGTTATTCAGGGGAAATACATAGGCTCCCAATAGGGAAGGTTCTGTCTTTTACTTATAATGTCTCCTGGTGATACAGTGTGACAAATTTTATACTGAAGCCATGTTCATTTATTCCTCAGAAGTACAAATTATGCTCACCTCTTCTTTCTATCAACTCCATAAGTGCTTTGGTGCTATAGAGACGGATTCAGTGTAAGACACCAGCAGAGTCCAAATCCTTTTAAATCGTCATGCCTATGTACACATTGCTGCAGACATTTTGTCATGCACAACTCCACTTGCTAGAATGAAAAGAATCTTCCTATGTTCCAACTCATAAAATATATGTAGTATAAAAAGGGAATATAAAGATGAGGTTTTTAAAAATAATTTCCTCATGATCCCTGGTTTTCTATATTCAATTTCTTTTCCTTTCACTGAAAACTACCAATGGCAACTTCTATATTACACATGAGATTTGAAAAATGCAATGCATCTTCCTAAAGAAATATGCCACAGTATCATTTGAAGAAATTACTATGATTTAAGGGGAAAAAAGCGTGTGCCACAATTTTTTTTAATATAAGAAAGATTGGATTTTATAGTTCTCTCCAAAGACTGCATAACCATAATTTACATTTTCAAAATTTTTGTAACTCTTTTTAAGGTAGTAGCAATTTGTCTGGTATTTTAATCTATTTTGAGTTAACATCTATTAGCACTTTTTGAAAATGTGAGGCAATTGCTATGCTAATTAAGGTAAATCACACCATAGTTTCATTACATGACTGCTGCTACTAAGGAGGGGAGGGGAGAGAACCTTTAGCGTTTCAGAGATTCAGTTTAACCAATTTATCTAGACCATCACATTTTTTTTACCTTATCAATACTTCCCTCAGAAAGTTCCAGATAAGTGTAAGCCTAGGCCTGAGTTACCTCCCCCTAACACCTCTGTTCAAAAATGTAATTTCTGATAAAATTTCCTGAAGAAGTCATTTACATTACATTAAATGATTCTTATTTCCTCTTTGACCCATGTTATATAAGAGGACATGTTTCCTGTTGGGGGGAATATTTGACATCTGAGTATTTTAAAATCACACTTAAGAATAAACCACTTAAAGTCACTTGTGTTTTAATGGAGAAAGTTTTCCTATAAAAATTGAACACTGTTTAGAATATCTACAAAGATAAAATAGATCACATTATTCTTCTAGACTGTAAAGTCCCTGACAACAAGGCTTATTTTAGTCATCTCTTTGTTTTCCATCCCTGTCTTATATATTCTTGCCCCATTAGAATTTAAGCTCTATATTACAGGAATTTTTTTTAATATACTGTTATAGCCCTAGTACCTAGAGCATGCCCAGCACACGATACATACTCAATAAATATTTGTTGGCTAAATTAATATAGGAGTTGTTCAATGAATATGTATTGAGTAAATAA